GAGCCCTGGTCAGCAGGACCCGCCCCATGGGAGGCAAAGGGGCAGCCCACCTGTCTCAGCAAAGAGCCCTACAGTCCTGCAGTGTGGGGAGCAGGCCGCACGCGGGGGTGGGGGTAGGGGGTACATATCTCTGCATTCCCTGGAGCCTTACTGTCGTTCCTTTACATTTAAAACAAATTGATATTTTGTTTTGAGGATGCAAAATTTTCCACCATCTGCTTTGCCTCCGCGAAATGTTGGCTGAAAATATCCTTCTTCCTCTCTAATTCCCATAATTCCTGGGGGCGAGGGGAGCCTCCAAGGAGCAGCTCACAAGTTCTTCTCAGCTCCCCGGCTGGCGGCTGCCTCTGCGCCAGGTGTTGTGTGGCCCAGAAGGGGCATTTCCCAGTCTCTCAACCAGGGAGGGACGCCCGGGCTCTGTCCCTTGATGGATGGGGCAGAGGGGACTCAACTTGAGTCCTAGGGTCAGACCTGGAGAGCTAACCATGTCAGCCCAGAGAGGGGGCAGGAACATGCTACAGGTCACAGGAAGGCCAGGGGCGGGACAGAGTCTGCAGGAGGACCCCCTCCCCGCCCCCCAAGACCCAGCACAATGTAAGGGGCCAGCACCCAGGGTTCTTGGGAGGCAGTCAGGCAAGACTTCCAAAAGAGACTTTCCTCCCCTCCATGTACCAAAACTCTGGGTTTCCATGGTGACAGTGGAATTGCAAATCCATCCAAGAGTGAGCCAGGGGGAAAGAAAGTTAAAAAAAAAAAAAAAAAGCTGGCCTATCCCCGGAGAAGTGGGACTGGCTGGCGATGGGGCTGTCCACAGGTGAGGACGAGTGCTGAGCAGAGCGGGCAGCCGAGGCTGCCAGGTCCCCAAAGCAAGTGGTCCAGGAGTACCAGCATTGTGGAGGGGCCCCGGACAAGGCCCTGGCTCTTCCCCGGTTCTTGGCAGAGCCCCAGTGAACCCACTTGGTGGGGCTTACTCCTTGGGAAGACTGCTGGGACATTCTTCTTCCTGGTGTTTTCCCGTCTTCCATCTGAAAAACCAGGCGTGGGCAGAATGCAAGCTCTCATCACCGAGCCGTCCCCGGCGCAGCATCCTTTGGGGAATGAAAAGTGGGGGGGGGGGGGAATCAGCCTTCAGACACACAGCATGCTTTGTTGAGGATGGAGGAGCAAGGGCCATAAGATTTATGAGCCTAAAAGCTTTGTTAATAGACCTAGAAGATTTACGACCCCAGCTGCTGTGCCGAGAGAAAGGTGGCGATGGCAATCGAATGGCAAATTAGCCAAGGTTTGGGTCTGACAGCGACATTTGGAGGGAGGAAGGGGGAAATCGCCTGCCTTGGCTGCTGGAGGAAGCTGGGAGTATCTGGTAACTGGTGTTTGGTTGGGCTGCCGGCCAGGGCGCGCAGCAGCGCCTTCCAAATGTGTTTCGTTGCCCCTGACAATAAGTGCCAGCGCCGGGCACAGATGCCTCCGGGCCCCCTTGGATTTGTTTCTCCCGGGTCGGGTTTAGAAGAGTCGATTCGAAATGGGATTTGAGTCTGCGCTCTGAAGACCTCTCCACTGAGCCCCGGCCCCAGCTAGAAATCCCAGACACAACAAGCAGAGATGCCCCTGCCCAGGGAGAGTGTGCCTGAGAGCAGGGCGTCTGTCTCATCGGCCAGCCCCGTCCCTGTCCCTGCACTTGGGTGCCTCTGTGAGCTCACTGTCATCTGAGGTTGCTCCCCACTTTTCCCTGACTGTGGCCCTTTGGGAATCCTATAAAAAAGTAGCTCCCTGACTGTCACCCAGAGTTTTCCAGTTTACGGTGTTTTGTTTTTAATCTTGTGTAGTCAAGGAACCCCATGGGGACCAGACCACACGGCATCCTCACCCACTCTGGAACGAGCCTCGGTGGCACTCTTGGCTCTGTACTGGGCTGCTATGCATTGGCCACAAGGTCAGTGGTTCAAACCCACCCACCACTCCATGGGAGACTGGTGAGGCTGTCTGCTCCTGTCTCAGAAACCCTATGAGTCACTGTGACTCAGAATGGACTCAGGGGCAGTGGATTCTTAACCCCATCTCCGGGGTGAATGTTCTGGATGACACAGCAGCTCCTGCAAGCGCCGCTTTCTGGGTGGAGCAGAGCACTGTCTTCCTGCAAGGTCAGCCCACTCCCCATCCAACCTGGTGCTTTACCTGATCGATGGCAAGGAGAAGGGGCCAGAGAAGTGGAATAAGTGGACATGCCACCATAACCTCAGTCCTAGGACCACCTCTCCCCTCACCCCCTTCCTCAGCATTGTGTGCCCTTTGACACCTTCCCCTTGGGACCCACTCAGCATCGTGAAGCCCCAGGTTCCCATGGGTGCCAGGATTCCAGAGAGCCTCCAGACCCGTGGAGCAAGTGCTTGATGCTCTCAAAAGTTCGAGGCCACCCAGAGGCACCTTGGAAGAAAGGTCTGGCGATGTATTTCTGGGGGTGGAAATCCGCCATTGAACCCCCGTGGGGCACAGGGCATGTATGGGGACTGGCTTTTTCTGTGGATCATGGAGGAGGGAGGTGGAAAGGAAAGGATGCAGAGATGATCTTCAAGCATCTCTGTCAGAGACAAGGGAACACCCGTGGACGTCAGTCACCAGCCTGTCCTCTAGGACGACCCCTCCCCTGCCACTCAGCACTGCGAGGACGCCATGCCAAGGGGGAGGGGTCTAGAGTCCTCTCCAGTGCCTGGAGGATGCCCCAGGAGAGAGATGGGACATACTTACTCCGTGTATTACACAAGAATCCCTGCCTCCTCCCCACCTAATCCCCGCAGCTTGTTCTGCAGAGCCAAGGGGTTTGCTGTGGGGGCGTGACAAACACGTAAGTGCTTGGGAAGTGGACAGTCCTGAGGTCCAGACGCCACAGAGTCATGATCAAAGAAGCCCAGGCAGGTCAGGACTGAAAATCAAGTTCAGAGTGAAGTCAGATTGCCACTGAACATTTGTTAAATATTGGGAAGTGGGGGTGGGGGCAGATGGACCACAGCTTCTCTCCCTTCCTCCCCGCCCCCTCCCTTTCGACTAGCACAGAGACCAAGGCAGAACTCTTTTTTTGAGCTCAGGAGAGGAAAGAAATAAAACTGTTAAAACACACAAAAGAAAACAGAGCCCTCCTGGTGGGACAGTGGATGAAGCATTGGGCTGCTCACCAAAAGGCCAGCCACTGGGGGGTGCCAGTAACTCCCCAGAGAGGATGAAGCCGGACACTCCTCTGTAAGGGAAGATGTGTCACTTGGAAACCCTAAGAGCAGTTCTGCTCTGTCCTGGGGGGTCCCTGTGAGGTGGAACCGACGTCGTGCCCACGGGTTTGGGGGTGTCTCTGTGTGTTTTCTAAAGCAGTCAAGGAAGGAGAGGCTGAGACTTCCTTCCGGTTCTCACTCTTGTCCACCCCCCACCCCCACGGTGTGGATCAAGGGCTGTGGTTGAGCGCCACTGAGTCCATCCCACTCTGTAGTGACCCCATAGGGACAGAAGCCAACTGCCCCCCGAGGGTGTTCTCTGCCGAACTCCTTATGGCTGCCGAGGCAAGGCAAAGGCTGCCTCTGGCTCTCACCCCATTCAGCACCAGATCCCCACTGTGCCCAACCCCAGAGGCCATGATGATGTTGCCTGGTGAGGCGAGAACTGCCCTCTAGGCTGCCCTACAAGGCTGCCCGCATGACCCTATCAGACACAGCACAGTGGGCGGGGCTGGGCATTGGGTCAAAGAGGTGTGTCCTGCGAGGAGGCTGGAACTTGCTCCATCCACCGCCCCCTCCCTGGGGCAGGGTCAGAACCCTCTTTCCACCACCCCCTTGCCCCCCGCTCCCCGATAGTTTTATCGAGGTGCAGCCTCATGAGAAAGGGTTGTATGTACCTCACCACAATCAGGTCCGGAGCAGCCTCCCCTCTCCTGTACTTATGATTTGCTCCCCGATTCCCTCCAGCCTCCACCTGTGTGTCCCCCAACTAGCCATTAAGTCAGTTACCATCTGTGTACAACCGCCCATCCTGTGTTTCCTGTACCGGAAAACACACAAAAGAAGCCGACTGTCACCCTCGGTGCAGGCACGGGCACCCTGGGGTTTCTGTGTGACGAGGCTGAAAAGCCAAAAGCATTGCCTTGGTGGACCCCCAGGGTGCCTGTGCACCCTGGCCCTGGGCAGGTGCTCTAACCCTGAGAGGCTGGTGGCGGTGAGGTGCCATCATGTAGCGGCCCTGCACACAACAGAACGGAACACTGCCCGGTCGTGCACCATCCTCAAATGGTCCTCAGGCCAGAGCCGATCCATCTCCTCAAGGGGCCTCCCCCTTTCTTTGTTGTTGACCCTCCTGCACGTTCCCAAAGATGATGTCCTTCTCCAGAGACCAGTCTCTCCTGACAACACGTCAAAAGTACTTGAGACGAAGTCTCCCCAGCTCTGATCCTAAGGGGCACTCGGGCTGTCCTCCTTCCAGGACAGATCCGTTTGTCCCTTGGGCAGTCCGTGGAGCTTTCCACAGCCTTCGCCAGCACCGGGTCTTCTCTGGTCTTCCTCGTTTGCCGTCCATGTCTCACATGCCGATGGGGAGACTGGAAATACCGTGGCTTGGGCCAGGGGCACCCTCGTTCTCAAAGTAGCATCCTTGCTGTCCAACTACAGAGGTCTTGTGCAGCAGCAGATCGACCCTGTGGGGGTGGGATTAGCATTGCCCCCCTGACAGACAGGGAGGCGTCTGCCCAGGTGAGGATGCCTCCACGGAGGTGGGATGTCTGGTGACCACTCCTGCTTCTCTGGGGAGAATGTAGTGGAGGCCAGCAGTAGCTTCTCCCCCGTGTCCATCCAGTGGCTCATGGTGGGGTCTTGGGCACGTGGCTTCCCAGCCACAGCCGGCACTTCCTGAGGTTCTGCGCCCCTTGGTGATGGCAGGAGCGGGGCTTGCCTGGACCACTCTGTCCGGGATGCCTGCTGGCAGCGGGCAGTGCGGGTGACCCCCGTGTCGGTGTCTGTCTTTCCCAGTGGTTTCCAGTGACACTGACAGCGACTCAGACCTCAGCTCCTCCAGCCTGGATGACGGACTCCGGCCCACGGGGCTCAGCGACCCCAAAGGGGACACCCCCCAGGGGGAACCAGGTAAGCGTGGGGAGGGAGTGGTGTGATGTGTATCGGAAGGCCCAGCACAGGATGGCTTTGCTGCTGCGGGTGTCTGCTTATGGATGGAGTGTGCTAGATCTGAGGACAGGCCACCTAGGACTGAAGCCTGGGGGCCAGCAGAGAGGGG